TTTGTCCCCGGCCCTGGTTGGGTCGGGCAGGTGGCAGCCACCCAATGTGTCCCTTTCACGTCGATGTTTCTCTCTCTCTTCCTCTCTCTCCCTCCCACTCTATCTGAACAAAAAATGGAAAAACGTCCTCAGGTAAGGATAAAAAAAAAAAGTACTATAACTGTTCTCTTTGTTACTAATGTCAAAATGTTGCATCTTTATAGTTTGTGTCCAATAACAAAGATTTAGAATTATTTTTATGCATGTCTTATCAATTCTATAGAAAAGAAGAGGTGGAGTTACAAACTAAAATTACTCCAGATTCTCCTCCAGGCCATAGGCTATCTATCTATTGTGTCTCCACCAACAAATCTCTTGAGCCAGTTACCTATGGGTTTGTAGTCCACCTTGCAGCTTTTGAGTAGTGCCTGCTCATTTTCCCACCTGCATTTTGATACATGCAAAATAGTAAGTGCCTTGTATCATCAATCCTTCATGTATCCTCAAGAAAGGTTAGAAAAGATGTATACAATAATTTGTATGCATGATCTGCTTTGTTCTCTCCAGTTTGAGGGGAAGTTGGGTTGCTGCCTGCTCAAGACCAAGATTACTGCCATGCTAGGGAGTTGTGGGGCAGTGTGAAAATGCCACAGTACTGACATTTGAAGATGTCTTTTTCTTTAAAAAAGAAAGTTTTTATTGATTTCACAAAGGGAGGAGGAGAGATAGAAACATTGATGAGAGAGAAACATCGATTGGCTGCCTCCTGCACACCCCTTATTGGGGACCAAGCCTGCAACCCGGGCATGTGCCCCAACGGAATAGAACTGGCGACCTCCTAGTCCAGGGGACAACACTCAACCAACTGAACCACACCAGCTGAGCAGAAGATAGGTATTTGCTTGTTCCTATAAACCTCTGACTATTTTCCAGGGGTACTACAAAGTTATTTCAGAAAGGTGCTGTTTTATTCAGTTTGTGGGGAAACAAAAAACTGGAACTTTTTAGTTCAACATTTTGGTGATGTCATTCCAGGAATTATATGTCACATATTTCCTGTTTCAATGATTCTTATTTTAAAATGAAGAAATTGGGGCTTAGGGAAGTTTTATACGATCCACAAAATTACAGAACTTGTTAATGAAGTTGGGATTATACTCTCCTAATGAAGTGTTTTTGTCTTACCATATATTAGGAGCACATTTAAGCATCCACTTACCTCACATGTAACCAGTGGGGGGTAGAATTAAGCAGGAAATGGGGTTGTCTTAGCTTGAGCTCCTATAACAAATTAAGTGACTTAAACAACATTCATTTATTTCTCACAGTTCTGGAAGGTGCAAAATACGAAGATCAAAGTGTTGGCAGATTGGGTTCCTGGTGAAGTTCCACTTTCTGGCTTGGAGACAGCAGCCTTCTAATTTTGTGCTCACATAGCCTTTCCTTGGTTGCATACATAAGGAGAGATACCTCTTTCTCTCTTCCTTATAAGGGTATTGTTCCCATCGTGAGTGCTCTACTCTTATGACCTCATCTAAACCCAATTACCTTCCTAAGGCCTCCCCTCCAAATACTATCACACTGGCAATTAGGACTTCAACATATGAACTCTGGGAGATGGAAACAGTCAGTCCATAACAGGGAATTTTGTTATTCCCCCAAATATTAAACCTTTCTTGAATATAATGGTATTAAGCAAAGATGGGCTTCAAATTACTTTGTTCAGAATCCTTATGCTGAAGGACATGTATCACAATTTGAATAAATGCAAAGGCATACTATGTTTGGGGCAAGAATGATAATATTATAAATGTTGCTTCTCCCAAAATGTATAAATTTAATGCAATACTAATTAGAATACCAAAAGGTGTTTGTAATTTGAGAAAACTCTTCATTTATGTAGAAGTAAAACTAAGAGTAGGCATTGAAACAGAAAAGAGCAAGGGGAACTTAATCTTATTATGTAGTATCAAAATGCAATAATGCTAATGTTAAACTAACATTAGTTTAGATATTAGTATATTAGATATTAGTATAGGAATAGAAAAGTAGATTAGTGAAACAAGATGAAATGTCTTGGTATAAATGAAAATACAAGGTAGTTTCAGTTGAATGAGGGAAAGATCATATGGGTAAATGATTACATAGCAAAATTTCAGTTGAATAGAAAAAGGAATGGTATCAGTAAAGGATTAAGAACAAGTCTTTCCCACTGACCCATGTCTGGAAAGATGATCTTAGATTTACCTTTCTAACACAGCTTCCTTGAAGAAAATAACATTGTAAATCCCATTTGTAGCCTTTACCTCAATGGGGAGAACTGTGAATTGGCACCTAGACACTGACAGCCTATGTGACTAGAGCACTGTAACTCTTGGGAAAACCAAGGTAGTGGAGTGGCTTCCCTATGCGTAAGTAGGTATCAGTCTTACAACTGAGTGTGCCCCATCATGCAAATGCACTTGTGGATTATTGTAAATTGTCCTGGATGAGAATGGTAATGTTTCCCAGAAGCTGTGCTTGCTTGGGCAGTTGCAGGATTGTGAAGGTGTTTTCTTATCAGGATAAAGCTGCCAAGAAAACTACTTTAGAGTTAAAGCCTATTCTGTTTATTTGATTGCCAGTTCGAATCTGTGACTGCTGCTGGCGTCAAAGCTGTGCGACTGGCTGTTGAACATATAAACTGTTTTAATGAATTGTGCTTGTACAACAGAAATCCATCTGCAAGAAAATAATAATGAACCTCATTTTATAAGACATTAAATTCTACATGGATTAAATATTTACATATTAAGAAAACCAACTTGCAAGGCAACCTAAGAAATAATACATACAATCTAGAGATTAAAATCTTTTAATTTTATTTATCACTATTTATCCCCTCTATGCCCTCTTCCACCTCCACCCACTCCAAAAAATATCTTCCTAATTCATAAACTTAGAGAAAATTAATACATAATTTGATTACATAGAAACTTAAAATATTTTAATGGAGTCACTTTTAATAACAAAAATTAGACAAATTCCTAATATCTAATATATGAAGAGGTCTTCAAAGTTGAAAAAAAAAGATACATAATACTTCAGGAAAATGGGTTAACAATATCAAAATTTATGAAGCAAATCTAGGAGCAGGTGAGATTTATACTCATCAGACAAGCATGAATTTGAGTAATTTAATACCATCCATCTACTGCAGGACTAGATGTCTTTATTTTTTTTAAGTTTATTGGGGTGACATTGGTTAATAAAATTATATAGGTTTCAAGTGTACAATTATTTGATACATGATCTGTATCATGCATTGTGTGCCCACCCCCAAAGTCATATATTCGGTCACCATATATTTGACCCCCTTTACTACTCCCCTAATCCTCCTTCCCTCTGGTATAACCACCATACTGTTGTCTGTTCATTTGTTACTTTCACTTTTATACCCTACATGAGTGAAATTATAAGGTTCTTGACTTTTTGTCTGACTTTCGCTTAACAGATATTCTCAGATCCATCCATGTTGTCACAAATGGCAGTATTTCATCTTTTCTTATGGCTGAGTAGTATTCCATTGCATATATATATACATATTTTGTCTTTTTAAAATGGACATTATCTATTAAAATTTAAAATCAGTACACATCCTCCAATATATCTAGCAACTTCTTGTCTATAATCAACTCCCCAGCAAAAAACAAAAACAAAAACAAAACTAAATGTAAGGGCCAATTACAAGGGTGTTTACTCTGGTGCTTTGTGGTGGCAATAACTAGCAATAAGATGAATGAATAGGGAGATGCCTGAATAAATTTACAGTACACAATATCACAAATACTGTGCAGCAATTGTTCATCTTATATGTACAGTGTAATTATTCTTGTTCTGGGATCTTGGCACTGGCCACTTATAGGCAGCGACTACCTTTCGGTAGTCTTCTAGTTTGGCCTGACTTAAGAGTTCCTAGTTCTGGCGACTTCAAAGGTGCACAAGCACAAGGGCAAAACGCTTAAGGAATATGAGAGAATGTTTATTGAAGAATGAAATAGAAGAGAACTTGGATTCATTCAAGCTGCAGAAGGCCAGTGAAATCAATTAGCAAATATAGCAGGCTAACTTTAAAGTTGATAATTTTGTATGGGCCAAGAATGATGTTATAAATATCCAAATGGCCCTTGGCAGAAAAAAGGTTCCCCATCCCTGAACATGTATATTCTTTGGGTACATTACCTCAGAAAATCAACCATTGGTATTTATAATCTTATCTCAAGGCCAGCCTTCAAAAATGCTAATAACAAGAAGTGCAGTGCTATAGTTATATTAGGATCTTGTTATTTTGAGTTTAAAAGGAATTGACATATGTGAAATCAACCTAAGGTTCAAATGCCGCATACTCACTTTTATCACTATTAAGAAACAGCATTAACAGCTTTCTATATGTCAAGTTGTTGTGAAGAGGGATCAAATAACCCTTTCAAAAATTCTAAAAATAGACTTGCCGCAAATAAAATACTATTTAGATCTATTTCTCTTTCAGTACCATTTCCCCCACAAAAACAAATGGGGAGTGGAGATATTCATTGATTATGTCTGGCAGAATAGAGAAAAAATTAGTCTGAGTTTAAAATTGAGGCTAAAATGCAAGAGTGGATGTTTTACTCAGAGGCATCTTGAAAAATTTAAGCATAACATGGTTTCCTCATTTTAAAATGGTCTAATTCCCATTGCCAATACTAGTTATATGGGATATTAAAATTTCTGATAAATGTTTCAGTGAAAATGAATTATTTCTCTCTACCAGGTCTATGCACCTATCATTAAATATGATCCTTAAAGGTATGTGATTCAACCCATCTGTTGCAAAATCATGTAACTTCTGAACAGAAACCATGCAGTGATGTGTCATGTAAATTTAAATAAATGGATCTGTTAAGCTACCATCACAATTAAAATTTTTTTCATATTTCAAAGATATAATTTTAGAACTATTTTAAATAAAAAATTAGCATCTGATTGGGAATGTGAGTCCTTTTTAACATGTACTTCATGTACAGCTTCCCTATTCCTATCTCTATCTTTTTTAATTTTCAGAAGTTTAAAAGAAACAGCACAATAAAATAAAATAAACACGTATATTGCCACAACCCAGAATTAACTAACATTTTATTATGGTTACCTGGAAGTTTTCTTTTTAGTAGGAGATAGATATTTGGATACAAAACTGAAGTATCCTTTAACTACCATGCTTGATTCCATTTCCGTTCCACTACCTTTCTGGAGGCAACCACTTTTGGGAACTGAGTATGTATCTTTGCAACACATTCTTCAGTTTTACATCAAAATGTTCATCTATAACCAATGCTTAATACTGGTGTTGGTTAGTGGTGACTTAATTCAGAATCACACAGGTATAATATATTCATCACTTTCATTTTTCTTCACTCTACATGTTTTCCTTGTTAATATATTTAACTTGTACTTAACTACTAGAGAATATTCTACTGTGTGACTATATTATATTTTATGCAACCATTTCATAAGAGACACATATTTGTTCTCAATATTTTACTAATATAACTCATGCTCCAATGAACATAAAGGTACATGACTCCCTGGGTACATGTTATCAATATATACTCAAGAGTGAGTATATTGGAATTAATTTTAGAAATTCTTTCCTATTTCAAGGTTTTAAAAACATTCTCCTATACAATTCTTATGTTTCCCATTTTGCATTCTAGTCTTCAATATTACTGGATTTAATAATAAATATTTTAATGTATGACAGCAAATATCTAATATTTTTCCATATGAAGAATCAATTACCCTGAGACAATTTTTTTGACTCATGCAGGATTTCCCTACCAACTTGTGATACCACAGCTGTCAATTACTAATTCCTCATAAAGGCATGCATGTTTTAAGATACAATAGTCTGTCACAATCTGATACTTAATGACTGAATCAAGAGCAAGTAATTGATGGTTACGCATATACCAAAACATATAACACAAATGACAATTTTCTCTTAATTATAAATCTTTATACCTCTCATATTTTTGTTTTAATGCAACAGGTAGGCCTTCCAGAACCATAGTGATTGGTGTCCATGAGGATCTTTATTTCAATGAGAATTCTTCTAAGAAGGACAGCATTAACAATGTTCGTTATGTGGGTTCCGAAGGCATGTTTTCATAACACTATACTTTTTATTTAACATCTCAGTAAGTTTTGAATGCTGAAGGATTTTCCACATTCATGTCACTTTATTGTGAGATGGATTTTCTGATACACTACAAAGTATGAATTCTGTTGAAGGTTTTCTTATATTCAAGGCATTCATAGAACTTTAATGAGTATGGATTCTCTGGTGTCTAATGTGATGTGACTTCTGGCTGAAAGCTTTCCCACATTCAGTACACCGATAAGGCTTTTCTCCAGTATGGATTCTCATGTGTAGAGCAAGAGTTGAGAACTGAGAGAAGGCTTTCCCACATTCATTACATCCATAGGGCTTCTCACCTGTATGGCTTCTCATATGCACAGTAAGAGATGAGCTTTGACAGAAGGCTTTCCCACATATTTTACATTCATAAGGCTTATCACCTGTATGAATTCTCACATGTACAATAAGTGATGTAATTCGAGAGAAGGCTTTTCCACATTTATTACATTCATAGGGTTTCTCTCCTGTGTGAATATTGTGATGTTTAATGAGGTATTGCTTCTGCCTAAAGATTGTTCCACATTCATTACATTTATAGGGTTTCTCTCCAATATGAATTTTCTCATGCTCAGTGAGATTTGATTTGCCACTGAAGGCTTTCCCACACTCCTTACATATATAGGGTTTTTCTCCTGTATGACTTCTCTGGTGTCTAATGAGGCTTGATTTCTGAATGAAAGCTTTCCCACACCCTTTACATTCGTAAGGTTTCTCTCCAGTATGTATTCTTTGATGGATAATGAGGTTTTCCTTCTGGCTAAAGGCTTTTCCACACTCATTACATTTAAAGGGTTTCTTTCCACTATGAATATTCTGATGTTTAATGAGGTACTGTTTCTGGCTGAAGGCTCTTCCACATTGATTACATTCAAATGGTTTCTCCCCTGTATGAATTTTCTCATGCTCAGTGAGATAGGATTTGCCATTGAAGGCTTTCCCACATTCCTTACAGGCATACGATTTGTTTCCAGTATGATTTCTCTGGTGCTTAATAAGACCTGGCATCTGAATAGACACTCTCCCACATTCATAAGGTTTCTCTTCAGTATGATGTTTCTGATGAGACAGGAAGTTTCCTTTCTGGCTAAAGGCCTTTTCACATTTATTGCATTTATATGGTTTCTTTCCTGTATGACTTCTCAAATGTAGAGTAAGGGATGAGACTCGAGAGAATACTTTACCACATTCATGACATTCATGTGATTTCTCTCCTGTATGCATTTTCTTATGCTCTATGAGGTTTTGCTTCAGGCTAAAGGTTTTTCCACATTCATTACACTCACAAGGTTTCTCTCTAGCATGAATTTGATCATGTTGAAGGAGATCTGATTCAGTCTGAAGGCTCTTCAACATTGTTATCATGCAGGTATTTTCTTCAAGACTTCTTGAGTATCTCTTGACGAGTCACATAGATGAAAGGTTTTCCACATTCACTAAATTCACATGGTTTCTTTCCAGTATCAATTCTCGGGTATCTAACAAAGTTGAATTTCTGGTGGAAATCTTTTCGCACTGATTATCCTGAGAGTAGGCAAAACAGAATGAAATACAGCATTCTCATTATATTATTAGCGGATTTTTCTTAGCTTCTCTCTAAATAGAAACATATTTAAGAGATAGAAACATTAATAAGAACATAAACTGGCTGCCTCCTGCATGCCCCCCACTGGGGATTGGGCCCACAACCTGGGCATGTGCCTTGAATGGAAATGGAACCAGAGACCTCTTGGTGCATGGGATGCTGCTCAACCACTGAACCACACCGGCCGGGCAGAGAAAACATCTTTATGTGGCAGGTGACAGGATGAAAGGACAAACATAAAATTGGGAGAGCCTAGGGTGAAAGGATTAGAAAATGAAATGAACAGAAGTATCGTTAAAGAGGGTGTATGGTTAAGTAAGATACAGCTATGCACTGCACGTTTTGATCAATGATGGATTGCATATGTGACAGTGGACCCATAGGTTATCTATATAACCTAGGTGTCTAATGGGCTATGCCATGCAGGTTTGTGTAAGTACGCTCTATGATGTTCGCACAATGATGAAATCGCCTGAAGCATTTCTCAGAATTTATCTCCATCTTAAGTGGTGCATAACTATATTTATTTCCACCTCGTCATTCTACTCCATTAAATTGACAGTAAGGGGGTGAAAGGGAGCACATGTTCAAAACGAAAAGGTTGAGGAAACGTCAGGAGATGAAAAACTTTAGAAAATTTTGAAAAGGAAAAAAATAAAAGGCTGTAAATTAACTTTAGAACTCAGTGGCTTAAATAAAATGCCAGCAGGGGAGGATGACACCTAAAAGCAAGGTTATTTGTAATAAAGCTGTCAAGAGAAAGGCTATGTGAGTGAGAATGAAAGGTGAAGCTTAAATAAAATGATTATAAAAAGAGCAGTTGAACCTGACCGGTGTGGCTCAGGAGATTGAGCATCGTCCAATGGTCTGAGAGGTCCCAGTTCGATTCCCTGATCAGGGCACATGCTCAGGTTGCGACCTCGATCCCCAGTAGGGGGCATGCAGGAGCCAGCCAATCAATGTTCTCTCTCACATTGATGTTTGTCTCTTTTTAAAAAAAATCAATAAAAACATTAAAAAAAAAGAGCAATTGATGTGCCCAACTCTTCTAGCTAGAATGAAATAGGAATTTATTATCCAGACAAAGTATAATGGAGTCTCCAAATTTAGTAATGACAGGCAAAGTAGATGAGGGTACCAAACAGAAAAAAAGGGGATGAATAAGTTTATATACAGAAGAGGGTCCAATTCCTTTCTACTACCGAACTGCAGATAGTTGCCAAGTGTCATATGACAGAAATGTCTTTTCTTTTTTTTCTTTTGTCTTTTTTTTATCCTCACCCGAGGACATTTTTCCATTTTTTTGTTCAGATAGAGCGGGAGGGAGAGAGAGGAAGAGAGAGAGAGAGAAACATCGATGTGAAGGGACACATCGAGTGGCTGCCACCCGCACGACCAACCAGGGCCGGGGACAAACTGCAACCGAGGTACATGCCCTTAGCGGGAACCGAACCTGGGTCTCTCTGTACCGCAGGCCGATGCTCTAACCGCTGAGCCAAACCGGCCAGGGCCAGAAATGTCTTTTCTGAAAAAATTAGACCTTGAGAACACCTACAGATACTGACGTTTGGAATCACATAAAGGAAACTTCTAGATACTGACTTGATGCTATACAGTGAAGCCCACTATTTCACAAACCCCACTCATACACACAGAGATTACAATAATCTTTCTGGTCCTAATGTTTACCTTACTGTAAGTCTGAAGATCACAAAAATTTGATGAAAGCCCTAACATGAAAGGTAAATCAAAACAAAACAAAACAAAAAAACAAGGCAAGAAACAGAACATACACATACAAATAATACAATACTAGAATTAGTATCACAAAAACTAAGAGATTATATAGCAATGAAATATTAACAGAGTTCTGTTAAGAAGTGCTTTTGGAAATAATACGCTGTTGACCTTAAAAATTCAATAGATTCAGGAAAAAAGTTCCAGGAAATTTCCTAGAATAAAAAAAGGAAGAACAGATGAAGGAGGGGAGAAATGAACAAAAAAAGGGAACAATGACTGAAAAATTAATGTACTATTGGAGGACAAGAGTTTCAACATCTACTAAAGGAGTTCCAGAGAAAATATGAAGAAAAAAATAAATGCAGGAAGGTTCATGGCCCACATTTTTCTTTTCTTTTCTTTTTTTTATCCTCACCTGAGGACATTTTTCATTTATCTTCAGATAGAGCAGGAGGGGGAGAGGGAGGAAGAGAGAGAGAGAGAAACATCGATGTGAGAGAGAAACATCGACTGGTTGCCACCACACTACCCCAACTGGGGCTGGGGACAAACTGCAACTGGTGGGTATCTCTGGTCCACAGGCCGACGCTCTAACCACTGAGCAAAACTGGCCAGGGCATGACCCACATTTTTCATGATAACATGTTAATAATGTTTAAAATTAATTAAATAAAAAATAGGTACAATAGTCATATAAAATGTGAGAATAAACACCAGTAAACACAGTTAAATGAGTGTAAGAAGTTACCTCTGTAGTGTAGGAAACATGGGTGAGGAAAGATGGAGCAAGAATAGCTATAATCTGCCCTGGCCAGTTTGGCTCAGCGGTTAGAGCGTCGGCCTGCGGTCTGGAGAGACCCGGGTTCGGTTCCCGCTAAGGGCATGTACTTCGGTTGCAGTTTGTCCCCGGCCCTGGTTGGTCGTGCGGGTGGCAGCCACTCGATGTGTCCCTTCACGTCGATGTTTCTCTCTCTCTCTCCCTCTCACTCTATCTGTACAAAAAATGGAAAAATATCCTCGGGTGAGGATAAAAAAAAAAAGAATAGCTATAATCTTATTTGACCTTTAAAAATTTTAAAGCCTCTATTCATTATACCTATAGAGATGACTTTGATGACTTGAGCCTTTTAAAAAAATTGTACTTATGCCCTGGCCGGTTTGGCTCAGCGTCAGCCTGCGGTCCAGAGACCTGGGTTCAGTTCCAGCTAGGGGTGTGTACCTCGGATACGGTTTGTCCCAGGCCCTGGTTGGGTCGTGCGGGTGGCAACCACTCGATGTGTCCTTTTACGTCGATGTTTTTCTCTCTCTCTCTCTTCCTCTCCCTCCCTCCCACTCTATCTGAACAAAATATCAAAAAAAAAAAAGAAAAAATCCTCGGGTGAGGATAATAAAATAAAATAAAATAAAAATAAATAAATTGTACTTATTGGTCTTAGAGAGATGAAAACAGAGAGAGAGAGAGAGAGAAATATTGACTCCTTGCTCTACCTAGTTAGGCATTCATTGGTTGATTCTTGTCTGTGCCCCAACCAAGGATCATACCTGCAACCTCTGTGCATAAGGACAACATTCCAACCAACTGAGCTACCTAGCCAAGTCAACTTGAGCCTTTAACTTAAACCAATCTATAACTGTGAAATAACTATAGACAGTGCTCTTTTTATCTAGTTGCAACTGATTTTCACTTGGGCTAAAACGCAAAGCACACGTACACTTAATACAAAAAAAGAAAATAGGCCAGAAAACATCCATCTTTGCTTCTCTATCATACTGTAGTATTTTGATTACTGATAGCATCGTTTCTGGATACAAAAGCTGTTACTGCCATCAATTTCAGTTTTCACTTTATTTTTCTTCATTGATTATGCCTGATATACTGGCACCCGAGCTCTTATCTTATAAAGAGCCCTTTTTGTGGTCTCTCTCTGAATCCTTTCTTCTTTAATTGTTTTCCATCCTCTAGCTGGAAAATATAAACTTTATCCTGATCTATACCTCTCAAAATTTTATCCTCATTTTCTTTTTTTAAAAATATTTTTTCTTTAATGATTTTAGACAGAAAGGAAGAGTGAGGGATAGAGTGATAGAAACATCAATGAGAGAGAACATCAACTGGCTGCCTCCTGCATGCCCCCACTGGGGATTGGGCCCACAACCTGGGCATGTGCCTTGACCGGGAATCGAACCTGCGACCTCTTGGTGCATGGGTCAATGTTCAACCACTAAGCCACACCGGCTGGGCTATCCTCATTTTCTTATAAATCATTACAAAAATTGACCCTGCTGTCACTCATATCAATGCTACAATTTCCATAATTAGGAAAAACACTCATATAAGTGTTGAAACTATTAAAATAAAAGAAAAAAACGGTAAAACAGACTTTCCCAAAATTAAAAACTAATGCCTTTAAAAAAACACAATTAAGAAAACAAAAGGGAATGCCACTGACTGGGAGAAACTCATAAGGGGCTTGTATCCCAAATATATAGAACCCTTGAAACACAATAATAAAAAGATAAACAACCTAATTTTTAAAATGGGGAAAAGGATTAGAATACACATTCACAAAATAAGATATATGAATGGCCAATAAGCATATTTGAAAAGTTTATCTTTACTAGTAAACAGGAAAATGCATATTAATATCCCAATGAGATATACTACACACCCTTTAAAATAGCCAACGTTAAAAGAACTGCCAATCCAAGTATGATAGCGTGAAGCCACTTAACTAGCATAATTTTTGGTGGGAAAGAAAAATTGTACAGCCACTCTGGAAAACTATTTGAGAATATTTTATAAAGTTAAATATACATTTACTGTTCTACCCAGCAATCCCATTCCTAGGCCTTATTCATGAAAAATAAATACTACATATGTTCACAAAGATTAATATGTGAATATTCACAACAGAATTGTTCATAATAGTCAAAAATAAAATCCAAATGTCTATCAACTGGTGAATAGACAAATTATGTCCATACTATGAAATACTAATCAACAATAAAGAGATGAAATATTAAAATATACAACATGAATTAATCTCAAAATGTAAAATGAATCAAAGAAATTAAATGCAAAAGATTATGCACTGTATGACTATATTTATATTAAATTCTAGAAAAGGCAAAGCTATAGTGATATAAAGCAGATTAGCCTCAGGGATGGGGGAGGGGGTTTGGTTCAACTGCAAAAGGACCCAAAGAACTGATAATGGAACTGTTCTGTATCTTTTTTTTTTTATCCTCACCTGAGGACATTTTTCCATTTTTTGTTCAGATAGAGTGGGAGAGAGAGAAGGAGAAACATTGACGTGAAAGGGACACATCGAGTGGTTGCCACCCGCACGACCCAACCAGGGCCGGGGACAAACTGCAACCGAGGTACACGCCTTAGCGGGAACTGAACTCGGATCTCTCCGGACTGCAGGCCGACACTCTAACCGCTGAGCCAAACCAGCCAGGGCTATATCATATTTTTAAACAATGTATATCAGAACCCATAGAACACTTTTGAAAAAAAAGCTTATAGAAGAGTTAGCATTAATGTTTACATTATTTTTAAAAGAAGTAAAATAATAAAGTAAGCATTCAAATGAATTACAAAAAAGAAAACATAATAAAAACAGAAATATTAACAAAGATAAGAAAATAAATTAATATATTACAAAAAAATATGAAATAATAAATTCATGAGTTGATTCTTAGGAAAAAGCTAACAGAATAAAAACAAAATTATAAAAATAAAAAATGACTATTTGAAAATAATCATTTTAATAAGAAGAAAATAAGGTAGAGATTATTTTGCTCAAACCTATGCAAAAAAATTTAAAAACCTAGCAAATACAGCCTATGAAAACTGAAACCAGAAGACAAAAACTAAATAGAAAATAAACATAGGAAAACAATAGAAACAACTGTTAAGATGTTTCATCATCCCAAAGCCCAGAGCACAGATGGCTTAGCATGTGGATTTTACTAAACTTTTAACAAACTACGGTAATTTATTTAAAAATTTCCAACTGATTCTTTTTTTTTTATCCTCACCCGAGGACATTTTTCCATTCAGATAGAGTGGGAGGGGGAGAGAGGGAGAGAGAGAGAGAGAGAAACATCTATGTGAAAGGGATACATCGAGTGGCTGCCACCCACAGGACCCAACCAGGGCCGGGGACAAACTGCAACCGAGGTACATGCCCTTAGCGGGAATTGAACCCGGGTCCCTCTGGATTGCAGGCCAACGCTCTAACCGCTGAGCCAAACCGGCCAGGGCACAACTGATTCTTTAATTCATTAAATTTGCAAAAGCATGATATACAACAGATAGGGACTTAAGCTAAATTCCTAAGAAGCCAAAAGAAAACAAAAATTACATCTGCTTCGTAATTGAAACCCCTTGTACTTTTATAGGATTTACATCAACATCCTTCAGATATACTTATCACAAATGAATTTTCCATACTATAAAATGACAGTCCTGAACTGAACTAGGCAACATCATCTAAATACCAGGTAAAAAGGTCATTTTAATAGATTTATCTTATGGTTTAAAAAGTATTTTCAAAATATAAATCAAAATGCTCTAATGTCAAGGAAATTGCTTTTGTGCTGTAATCCCTAAATTGAGTAGTTACAATAAAGATCCTATGGCCTACAAAGTCCAAAATATTTACTATCTGGCTTTTTTACAGAAGTTTACTGACCCTTGCCCTAGAGTGGTGATTTCTTCCTCCAATACCTGATTGGAACTAAGGTATTGTTGTTCTAGCTCCAACCACAACTAAATAATAAAGAGACAACTTGCAAGAAATATGGATCCTTAAAGGAACACAAAGACCAAAGCTACCATGCAATTGACTACTCACCACATAACTGTTAGGTGACTGAGAAAGGAACCTGGAAGGTATTGTTGAGGGTCAAAGCAGTGTCCCAGATTGCAGGCTGAGCCTTGACGACTGTCAGAGGTTTTAAAGGATAAGGAAAGTGCAGCTCCTTGGGATGCACATGGAAGCTGACCTATGAATAAGGAAAATGTAATGATGACCCTTTGGCTTAAAAGCTGGAGTACACACATATATATGAGTCATAGATAAAAATATTTGTACTTTGCATCTCAGGCCAAATCAATCATACAATTTAAAGGCTGCACACATTTCAGAAATGGGACAGAGAAATTTTAATTCTAAAATTTAGGTTATACAGAAAATCGATGAGACTTGACTTGCCAGAGTTCTCCAGAATCACAACCCAGGTACTATTAAGTAGGTGTCATTTGTGGCCTTGCTCCTGATTGAACAATCATAGTTTTAAATATAATTTTCTCCTGTAACAACACTTTTCTCATAAATGTGAAGTCAAGAACCTTGAGTGATATGAATAAAATATAAAGGAAGTTGTGGGAGACTTTTTGCATGGCATCCATTTTGTTAAAATCTGCTCTGCCATCTCCTGCCCCAAGGCAGGATATCTCTGCATTCTGCATTCCTTTAAGTAACCATTTACTCAACCAGCCAGTCTTTGCTGACCTTTTGTTCCTTCTGTGGTATTTCCTGGAATTGCTTCCGGCAAAGTGGTGCTTGGCAACAGGTGCTTCCTGTTTTTCTTGCCCTATATATTGTGTGAATTTCCCCTGAAAAAAGGAGACTTGATCAGAACCCTGCCTTGTCCCTCCTCATCCTCACTCTAGAGTCCTTGTTGCTGACGGGTCAAGAAGTCATTTTGGTATTATTCATGTCTCAGAGTTCTTAAAATTTGGAATTAAAAAAATGGAATGCTATTGCTCAGAGAGTTCTTCAGGGTGAAAAAAGACGATCAAAGTTAGAAACCAGTAATACTAATAGTTAAAAGACAAACAGAAATATAAGTCACTAATGGAGTTGAGGCAGGGAGGGTTTGCTCCTTGATTTTGATTGGAATTATAAAAATGAGTAGTATCATGGAAGTCAAGGAAACATTCAAGAAAGAGGCAATGATAAACATCTAAACAGCAATTAAATGAACAAAGAAATCTAATTCCTCCACCCTGGGTAAAAATAGAAATATACAAAACACTAAAGCAAAAAATAGCTGCATCTCCCTCCCCAACAATTGTTTTATTTTCCTGTAAACCTCCAAAGTTTCTTCATTTACTCAAAAAATGGCATAGTATATTACACCAAACATTGTGTACCTTGCTTTCTTCACATAACAATACCACGTAGACTTTTAAAATCTATTTAAAATATGATATTTACTTCCCGTTGCTCATGTCTTCTTTAGGGTCTTTCATTAAAATTTAAAAACAATCTTAATATAGGCTTTAAACATATTTATCCCTAGGTGTTTTATCTGATTTGTTGCTTTTGTAAATAAAGTACATCTTTTCTAGAAATGATTTTTTTTTATATATCAAAGCTATTGTTTTTGTATTAAGTTTTTTGTACTCTGGTACTTTTAAAATGTTATTGAAAAATATGTTGTGTGATAAAACACTGAAAGAGTCTTTGTGTAGATGGATGAAAATTTGTTTCACTACATTTACAAAGGCCATTTGGTCTGGGCCAAATTAGGAGTCAGATTTTTCATGCTTATTTACAAACTAGTCAGACTCTGCACCAAAGACAGGACAGCTTGCTTCCTAATTCTGTGCTGTGTGCACAAGTGGAAATTACCTCTTAAAGCTATTCCTTAGTCCAGGGCTTCTCAAAGCAGCCTCATCAAAGTACCTTCAAAGAATTAAGAAAAGTAACTACGGGAGACTCCAGACACCCAATAAAAAGTTCTTTGGGAATCTTTCCTCTTAAAAAAAAAAAAAAAAATTAATGTTGATTTCGTTTCTACACCACAGCCAGCCTGCTTTTATGCAAAATCGCTTTAAAAATTACCTATCGCTCAATTGTTTAGCCTTTTCTTATCTTTCTGACAAAACGGATGCTCCAGAAAGATGCATTCTAATTACAATCATTATTTTAGAAATGGGAACAGTGAGGTTTAGCGGTTACTACCCCACAAAACTCACGTGCCATTCATCCGCGCAAACTTGGAACCACACGCTGTCTCACACGAGCTGTAACTCTACGACCCTCTCACACCCTCGGTCACCCACCCGCGAACTCGCCCCCGTTTCCTCTTGTACCCTTGCCCCTCCAGATATGCTTTGGCCACTTCACGTCACAGCAGGCAATCCTTCCCCTTCAGCCTTCCCGGTCAGGTCGCAGACACCGCGAACGCTCCTCTACCGCCTCCCAGCCAAATACTGAGCCCAGAAACGCGGGGCCCACAGCCAGATTCGCGCTCGGCCGAACCCAAACCAAACTCACCAGCAAACAAAGACTCCGATGGCGAGCCAGGAAGTCTGCGCCTGCGCTTCCGGGCTGGCCAGCACTCCCAGAGGTCTCCGGTGCTCCGCCAAGCCCGGGCTCAGCACCAGATGGATTCAGACGATGCGCCCGGTCTTCCACTGTTCTCACCGTGGACTACATTTCCCAGAAGTTTCAGTGGGTCGAGTCTCAGAACTCAGATAACACTGTGTTAACTCCGCCTCTGGGAGAGAGCAGTGGTGTGTGTGCCTTGGCGTGTAGAAGCTCAGTTCAAGCACGCTGGGCTGACTCCGTAGGAGCCACAGTACTAGGCTACGCCAGGCGCGCCAGAAGCCTCCAGTTGTGTGATATTTGGGGCCGGGTTCAAGCCCGGCACCACCTAGTTTATCGCGAGGGCTTCGCTGAACTACATTTCCCAGAGGGCGCAGCGCCTGCCGCTGGTACCCAACGGGAGGTGGAGTGTCCTGAGCAGAGCTGTGCTGGACCAGCGTACTGGTCCTTGAGAGGTTTGGGCTGGTCGCTGACGCGATTGGTCCTTGAGAGGTTTAGGCTGGTCGCTGATGCGATTGGTCCTTGAGAGGTTTGGGCTGGTCGCTGACGCGATTCCCGAGAGACTCAAGGCGAAAAGTACAAGGCGCGGGGACGGTGACTATAAAGTTTGTTTGAGCGGAACGGGCTGAAAAGGTGTGATTGTGAAAGTATGTGATTGTGTGTCCCAGTGGTGTGTTTGTGATTTTGACTGTGTACGCGGAGGCAAGGAGCTTTGATGTGGCTGTGAATCCCCACAGTATGACTGTTACAGATAAATCATTTGTGAAAAACTCAGTCAATATGGCAAATTTTATTGTTTTATTATTTTAAGAAATTGCCACAGCCTACCCAACCTTCAGCAACCACCCTGATCAGTGAGTAGTCATCAACATCAAGGCAAGACCCTTCACCAGCAAATAGATTATGACTCTTGAAAGCTCAGATGATGGTTAGCATTTTTAAGCAATAATGTTTTTTAAATTACGACATTGCATTGTTTTCTTAGATATAAAGTTTATTGCACACTTAGCCAACGGTATAGTGTAAACATTACTTTTATATGCAGTGGGAAACCAAAGTCATGCTTCATTGTGATACTGGCTTTATTGCAGTGGTCTGGAACCGAACCTGCAGTATCTCTGAGGTACACCTGTACTATCTCTAAGAATTGGCTATCCTGAGAGGCACATTCTCTTTGGAGTAAGCAAGGCCCCAGACATCAAATAATCAGAAATACATAAAATAAAAAGGCACTTATTTTATTAAGCAATATGCACTTAAGACTCCTCCATGTGTTTTGTGGCTTAATAGCTCATTTGTTTTTAATCACCGAATAATCCATTATATAGATGTATAACAGTTGTTTATCCATTTGTCAGTTTATTTTGTTCATTAGATTCCACACATAAGTGAGATCATGTGATACTTGTCTTTTTCTGTATTATTTCGCTTAGCATAATAATCTCTAGGTCCCTCCATGCTGTCTCAAAGGGTAAACGATCCCTTTTTTACAGCTGCATAATATTCCATTGTGTAAAGGTACCACTGCTTTATCCACTCATCTACTAATGGGCTCTTGGGCTGTTTCCAGATCTTAGCTATTGTGAATAGCACTGCTGTGAACATAGGGGTGCATAATTCTTTCTGATCAGTGTTTTAAGATTCTTAGGATATGTTCCTAGTGGTGGGATCATTGGGTCACATGGCAGTTAATTTTTTGAGGAAACTCCATACTGGTTGCACCAAGTCTGCATTCCCACCAGCAGTGTGCTAGGGTTCCTTTTTCTCCACATCCTTGCCAGCACTTGTCATTTGTTGATTTGTTGATGGTAGCCATTCTGGCAGGTGTGAGGTATACCTCATTGTCATTTTAATTTGCATCTCTCTGATGATTAGTGATGTTGAACATTTTTTCATATGTCTCTTGGCCATTTATAAGTACTCTTTGGAGAAATGTCTGTTCAGGTCCTCTGCCCATTTTTAAATTGGATTGTTTTTCTTTTGTTGAGTTGTGAATACTTTATATATTTTGGAAATTAACCCCTTATCAGATATATCAGTGGCAAATACGTTCTCCCATGTAGTGGGTTCCCTTTTCATTTCGATGCTGGTTTCTTTTGCTGTGCAGAGCTTTTTAGTTTGATGTAGTCACATTTGTTTATTTTTTCCTTTGTTTCTCTTGCCCTAGGTGATGTATCAGTGAAAATTCTGCTACCTGAGATGTTTAGATTTTGCTGGCTACATTTTCTTTCAGGATTTTTATGGTTGCACGACTTACATTTAAGTCTTTTATCCATTTTGAGTTTATCTTTGTGTATATTATAAGTTTGTGGTCTAGTTTCATTTTTTTGCATGTACCTGTCCAATGAAAACCATTGTTTCTTATATTTTATCTTGTGTGTTTAAAATGTTAGGCAAGAAGGTAAATGCAGTCTCTAGTATTTAGTATTAGCTAGAAATAGTGTTTCCACAGAGCTTTGAAGAGAGTTTCTCAAAAACATCACTGGGGCCCACCTTCTGTGGGACCAACTGGTTTTATTTATTTATTTATTTTATTCTGGTGATGGCTTTGCCTGCCTCATCCATTCTCACTCACTAGGCCCTGTGTTCTTGTCACATCCCTCACGACCCTCCAGAGCAACTTCCCTTCCTCCAGTAAAGTGATCACAACTGGCTTAGAAATGGAACACTCTGCTTACAACAAAGAAACATAACATATAAAAAAGAAATAAGAGTTATAACAAATTCTGAAAAACACTTTTGAGAATTGGTTAAGTTTTTAATAAATGAAGCTGATCTATTTATAGAGTTAGAGAAGAGAAATTTGAGGAGATTTAAAGAATGTTCACCCTCATGTGACTACAGAATTATAAAGTATAAAAGGACCAGAGAGGTAAAGAATGTCTTACTTTATTTAAGCCCATGCCAGCTCTGTCTTGGGAGGCAGTACTTTATAACAGTTAAGAACATCAGCTTTAGTGCCAGATTACTTAGGTAGAAAATATGCTTCTGACATTAATTGGCTGTGTAACCTGGGGAAAACTATCTAAATATTCTGTTTTAACAATCTCTTCTAAACACAATAATACAAGTAGCATTTATGTCATAAGGTTATTAAGTAATTAAATATTTCAATATATTAAAAATTCTTAGAACATGGCCTGGTACAAGGCAAGAACTATGTGAGTTGAAAAGAAAGCAAGTTGCCCTGGCTGGTTTGGCTCAGCGGTAGGCCTGCAGTCCAGAGAGACCTGGGTTCAGTACCCACTAAGGGCACAAATCTTGGTTGCAGTTTGTCCCCGGCCCTGGTTGGGTTGTGCGTGTGGGAGGCAGCCACTTAATGTGTCCCTTTCACATGTATGTTTTTCTCTCTCTCTCCCTCCCACTCTATCTGAACCAAAAAAAGAAAAAGAAAGTAATTTGCTTTCTACAACAATAAAAGGTCCTTGCCAGAATACTGACTTAATGTTAAATGCAAAGTTTTTTAACCACAAAGCAGGTATAAGACAATATTTGTGGCAGGCAGTGGATGTTAATTCTGTTTATCAGTCTAACAGCATATAAATTATAGATTCTTTTAATAATCATAACAATCAAGACAGTTTCTTAGCTGTTCTCCCAGAAGGTGGGTAAGAAAATAACATAAAACATTTATAGCAAGTCTGAGCTGAAACAGAATAGATATTTCAAAGGATATGCTGTATGTGTCCTATGAGTCAGACCAACTAGCTGGGTAGTAAGAAAATTAAGAAGTTATATGAAGGGACTGAGGAAGTATGGACATCATGAAGAATGATGAAGATGCTTAATGGAGGTGTCATCTCCAACACAATGCTTAATCCATTGCCTATGGAAATAACTACTTTCTTAAAAATGGCTTTTAAGATACTTTTTATATGTTTTTATTGATTTTTTAGAGAAAGAGGAAGGGAGAGAGAGAATTATTGATGTGAGAAAAAAACACTGATCGCTGCCTCTTGCACACACCCCCACTGGGATAGAGCCTGCAAGATAGCTGATTATCAACTGATATTTTATAGAGCATATTCTAAATTATGTGAAACACATAAATTTACCCAGTGAGACCAAGTTGCTGTAGTTTTCCATCACTTCCTAGTACAAGTCCCTCTGGGCAGAATCAAGATAGTATTCCCATTCCTCCTGCGAGAAGTTGATGACCGCATCTCTGAATGTCACTACTTCCTAAAACAACAAACCACATATATGTGAAACTGAAGGAAATACTTTTTTTTTTTTTTTTTTAATCCTCACCCGAGGATATTTTTCCATTTTTTGTACAGATAGAGTGGGAGGGAGAGAGAGGAAGGGAGAGAGAGTGAGAAACATCGATGTGAAGGGACACATCGAGTGGCCGCCACCCGCACGACCAACCAGGGCCGGGGACAAACTACAACCGAAGTACATGCCCTTAGCGGGAACCGAACCCGGGTCTCTCGGGACCGCAGGCCTATGCTCTAACCGCTGAGCCAAACTGGCCAGGGCTGAAGGAAATACTTTTAAGAAAAAGAGAAGAAATAATAAATTGCATTACAGAAAGAGGACTAAATAGTAAACACGTAAGCCTGGGATAGAGGTCTATGACATGGAAGTAAGGAAATTAGTGCTTCTAAAACAGACTACGTACATGTTTTCAAAGAATCTACTTGATTTTGAGAAATATTCCTGCCTACTATTGAATTTCTTAATTAGCTAAGCATGTCTGGAAATAAAATAATCAATTTATTATTATTATTATTATTATTATTATTTTTTAATCCTCACCCAAGGACATTTTTGCATTTATCTTCAGATAGAGCGAGAGGTAGAGAGGGGGGAAGAGAGAGAGAAACACCGATGTGAGAGAGACACATCGAGTGGCTGCCTCCCACACGACCCCAACCAGGGCTAGGGACAAACTGCAACCCAGGCACGTGTCCTTAGCAGGAACCGAACCCGGAACTCTCTGGTCCGCAGGCAGAAGCTCTAACTGCTGAGCCAAATCAGCCAGGGCTAAAATAATCAATTAACAAATGAAAAGAAATAGCATATACATGCACATTGCATGTTATATGCCTGCCTGCTGCATAATTATCAATAAAGATGAGTTTCTACATTCTTACTCCTCTGTACAGAAAAATATCTAACTTAAAAAATGGGATATGAACAATATTTTAAAATTTCTTCTAGCTCCAAGTTCATCACTCTATGAAGTATCATTATTTCACAGTTTATAATAAGAATTATTACTTCTAATGACAATATATCTAGTA